CCGTTTCAAGGACGTGTCTTTGAGAAGTTATAACTGGAAATCCCAGCATTTCTAGGAGAAGTTTTGTTCTGCAATATTTTAGGTCTCGTTGAAATCTATAAATATTGAATCAGAAGGTCTTCCAGAATCAGCTTGCATCATGGTGAAAATCTGGCCAGAAGTTCTGAGCTTGTCATATTTTCTTAAACACTTAGAAAAAAATCTAAGTATTTAGGATTTTGACTTCTCCAAAGTAGTTTTGACGTTTGAATTTCTTGATGAAACAAACTTCATATTTCAATATGTCTTGATGAAATATGATTCTTGAAATTTGATTTTGATCCAAAAGTCAAAGTTTGACTTTTCAGTGTGCAAATGACCATTTTACCCTTGTGAGTGATTTTCTTGGAAAGTCTGTAATTCAAGGCTTGGAATTGGATGGAAGCAAATTTTGAGGATCCAGGGTGATTCTTTGAGAAATGAGAGGATAAATTTTTGGGTACAACACTATCACAGGTTGCTTCTTCGAACACTATGAGATTGGGGCACCAAATACTTGAAAGAAATACCTAGTTATGCTTCCTCAATCATCCTTATCTCCACACCAATCAGGATATGAAAAACAATTAACTATTACTTCTTTGCCTTTAGAATCTCGTCGAAATAGTATTCCACAATTTATTGAACCCTTCAAATATCTCAAGATTCTTCTTGCAGCCTTCATATGTGACACTCTTAGTTCACCCATATATCTGCTTACTAATTTGACTGTGAAACCTATATCAGGTCGACTATTACACACATACCTCAGAGATCCCACAATTTGCTTGAACAAAGTTGCATCGACTTTGTCTTTTTCTTCATTCTTCTCCAACTTCACATTTGGTTCGACTGATGAGGATGCAGAGTTCGAATCATCCATTCTGAATCTCTTGAGTATCTCTTGACATACTTTCTTTGATGTAGCACCATACCTTGCTTCGACATTTGAAATTCCATGCCTAAAAAATAAGACAATATTCCTAGATCTGACATTTCAAATTCCTTCGTCATCAGCTCTTTGAACTTCGACAAGTTCTCTAAACTATTTCCAGTTACTAGCAAGTCATGAACATACAAGCAGATGATTGTTATATCTTGTGCTACAACCTGAACATAGACGCCATACTCTGATTTGTATTTGACAAATCCCAATTCGACTAAGCATGAGTCAATCTTCTTGTTCCATGCCATATGTGACTGCTTGAGGTCATAGAGCGTTTTGTGCAATCTATATACTTTACTCGCTTCCTTCTGAATCACAAACTCAAGAGGTTGTGTGACATAAACTTCTTCATTTAAAGGACCATTCAGAAAGATGATTTTACATCTAGATGGAATGTCTACCATCCTTGGTTGCATGTCAATGCTACCACTAGTCGAATAGTCTCTAATCTTGCTACTGGAGTAAATACTTCAGAGTAGTCGAGTCATACTCTTTAAAGAAAACCTCGAGCTACTAATATTGCTTTATGTCTTGCTATTGACCCATCTGCATTGTGTTTCAACTTGAACATCCAATTTACTTCGATAGCTTTTGTATGCGCTGGCAATTCGACTAACTCTCATGTGTTGTTTCTTTCGATTTCCTGTAACTCTTCGACCATATCTAACTTCCACTTGTTAATCTTTAAAGCTTCGCTATAGTTGATTGATTCAGCACCTGCAAGTAAAGCAAAATGAACTAATTCTCCATCTGGTGTGATTTCATCATCACCCACCACTTCATAATCATGAAGTCTTGTTGGAATAATTATATTTCTTTTAGGTCTTTGGCTTGTTTCAGCCACAGCCTCTTCGACTTCGATTGTGTCGGGAGTGTCAGTAACTACTTCTTCGACTTCGACTGGATTTTCAACAATTCTTTCGACCTCTACTTCATCAGTTTCTTCGTCGAAATCAAAGTTCATTAATGGCTTGTTAATTGAATTGCTAGAATTCCAATCCCATGCATAATTTTCATTAATCACAATATCTCAACTCAACGCAATCTTCTCATTAACTTGATTGAATCGTCTGTATGCACCAGTTTTATGATATCCTACCAGAATCATAGGTTCATTCTTGTCATCAAGCTCCCTTCTCCTTGCATCAGGAACATGCTTGTAACACATAGAGCCAAACACCTTCAAATGACTTACTGATGGTCGTTTGCCACTCCACACTTCTTCAGAAATCTTGTTCTTCAATATCTTAGTAGGACACCAATTCAAAATATAAACTGCAGTCGAAACAACTTCTCCCCATAAAGACTTTGGCAAATTCTTTTGCTTCAGCATGCATCTCGACATATCTAATATGGGTTTGTTTCTTCTTTCAGCAATTCCATTATGTTTAGGTGTATAAGGAGCAGTTACCTCACGATTAACACCATGTTCTGCACAAAAATCTTCAAACATCTTGGATGTGTATTCGCCACCTCTATCTGTTCGCAGAACTTTGATCTTCTTCTCACTCTGATTTTCGACAAGTATCTTGAATCTCTTAAAGATTTCGAATACTTCATCCTTTCGTTTGATCACATAGATCCACAGCTTTCGACTAAACTCATCGACAAACGAAACAAAATATCAGTTGCCACCAATTATATGTTCTTCGAATGGACCACATACATCTGAACGCACCACTTCGAGAACGCAGGATGATCTCATTGACATAGTCGAAACGAAAGAATTTATGGATTGCCTTTCCACTAAATAACCTTCACAAAGTTTTTCAGGTATCTCAAGGCTTGGAATACCAGTAACCATGTCTTGAGTAATTAGTTGATTAAGTGATAGAAAATTCAAATGTCCAAACCTCAAATGCCACAACCAACTATCCTTCTAGTCGACAACAGTTTTCAAACACCATCCTTTTTCCATGACTCAGCTTGCAGTGCCTGTATCGAATTTTGAACTCCTTTCCTTTCGACAATCCTCATCTCATGCGCCTCCAACGAACCAACCAGATCTTCCACTTTAGTGGTTTCAAGATTGTTGGATTCTTGAATAGCTACGATAACGTGATCAAAGTGAGAGGTCAACATTCTCATTACCTTCTCAACTATCATCTTATCAGTAATGGTTTCACCACAATCCTTCATGAGATGGACGAGTTTCTGAAACCTTCGACACATATTCTGCAACTTTTTCATCTTCTTCCATCGACAACAACTCATATTGTCGAACAAGGTTTGTAATTTGACAACCTTGACTTTCTCACCTCCTTCGTAATACTTCACCAGAATATCTCATTCCTCCTTCGCCGTTTCAGCATCGTCGTTTCAGCATGAGATTCTGTCAAAATTAGCAGTATCGACAACCATTTGAATGCAATAAGCAACCTTGCAATCTTTCTTGTTGACTTCGTTGTGGGCTTTTTTCTGTTCGTCGGTTGCATTTGCAGCCAACGCAGGAACGCCGTCGGTAACCACTTCTAGGATTTCATGGAAGCCAAACAAGAATTGCATCTATTTTTTCTATCGAATCCAATTTTTGCCGTCAAGCATTGGAAAAGAATTCGAAATACCCTTATCACTAGCCATCTTCGCAACAGTTGATTCATTTGCCTTAAAAACACGATCTCTGACGTGAAATTCTTGAAAACTTGATCAAGAACAATAACTGAAAGCTCTGGATACCAATTTGTTAGTGCGTAAGACACTTTTAGTGAAGAGAGAAAGAGAGAATAATAAAGAAAATACGAATTTATATTATTGAATTATACAAATAATGATACACACTATGACTATTTATATACAACCCTAATTGAATTTGAGCTAACACAATTTAGATTATATTTAAATATTAAATCTAATCAAATTTAATCTAATCTAATCTAATTTAATATTTCAACAAATTCCACATTTACTTTTTATCGTTGTTCACTCATACTTTGTCATTTGTCGTCTCCCATCAATATTTACATATCTAAATACATTTTGGTATTATGTATATTTTTACATTGTCATTTGTCTTCTCCCGTCAAAATTTCCATATCTAAATACATTTTGGTATTACGTATAATTTTACATGTATACATTGGGGTATTATGTATAATTTTACATATATATTTAAAATGTTTTACATATGCTTATTGTTAAGCTTAATTTTATTGAATAAGAATTAATGTAATAATAACAATATATAAAAGATAATAGAATTGTAAAATAATTAACTAGAGAATGGTTTTTTATTTCTAATTGAATTGGAATTGAAGGAACAATTTCAGATTGCAAGTGCGTGTGAAGGAAACCTGAAACTTGTGTATGTGTTTGCCTGATTTTTATGTTAGGAAACTAGAGTATTTAACTGTGACTGTTCGAGTTGTGTTATGCTGCAAAAAAATCAATGAAGGAGAAGAAAATGCATATGGAGCCTTGGTTTCAATCCAGCATATCATCACCACACACAAGCAAGTAAATATAAAACTAGCTTTTCAGAAGCTCAATCTGTTATGGTAGCAGGTCAATAGAATTGTCTTTTCCATTCCAATTCTAATGGGAGATTTTGAAGGGGAATTTCGGACTCAAGACCTCTTCAACAGTACGCAGAAATTTATACCTCAAGTGTAGGAATATATTATGGAGCATACTGTAGACCATTTGCAATCCATGGTAATTCCCTTTCTCCACTTTTTCATAATTCTATCAAAAATAAACTGTCTTATGTGAAGAACAGTGGTGATTGTATTTTTGAATTTTCAAATGGTGATGGTTTGAAATTCATAGATGGGGGGAAGAGGGAAGCCATGGAATTGTTATCATGTAACTAACCTCGGTGTCATTTTCTTTGTTGGATAACAGTAGTACAGACATAAGAACTTTATAGAAGCTATGTTCTTTATTAAATGACAAAATTTTCAGTAATTAATTATATTTGCTTAATAAAATTCACTAAAACTACACCAGAGGAATTTTTTTATAAAAAAAAAACAAACATGAATTGACATGCGTTGACTCCTCTAGATTCAGTGAAAACAGTTTACAGTGGAGAGAAAACTCATCTTCGAAAGTGAATATTTACAACGGAAGGCTGCAAGAACAAAGTCTGCTGAATAGAGAGAGCAAAGGGCAAAAATGGATGAAAAAGAAACGAAGAGATCTTTTTTGCACGACCATCCATACTACCAGCTTCAGGACCTAAATTTGAAGCATAAAATAACGTGCCAAGTTAATATTCAAAATGCAGATCAAAATTTGCATGGTTTACTGGTAAGACAACTAATAATATAAGAAAACCAGAACAAGTAGAACATTGATAAGCATCAAACTAAGTGTGTGCGCGTGTGCCCAATGCCCCACACGGTCTTTCTATTCGCACTGGATAAGCTATTCTAATAGGAAGACCGCACCTTAAGAGTAAAGTATGCATCAATGAGAAAATTAACACCACATACTTTTTAACACATTATTTTTATTGGTTAAAATTCATATGAATCCCACCAAATTTATGTGATTCACATGATTTGGTGGAGTCCATATATATTTCAACCAATAAAAGAGTGTGTATTGGAAAATCTGTATCTAGCACCCCCATATATATATTCTCATTAAAAGTTGAAAGTTGCACGTTACACTATTGTGCACTCTCCAAATCAGAAAAGTATGATCAAGTCCTGATTTTACTCTCTAAAGTACTGGTTCAAAAGTGGAGTATATTATCTTGTCATTTCGATATTTAGAAGCAATCAGCTTGAACAACAAGGAAAAAATGTGCACCTGGTTTGATCTTAAATTTGAGAGTGTGTGGAGAATTCCTTAAAATGAACTTGATTGGATGGTCAGTTGACTGCCTATGCCGATCAGTTGCAGAAATCAGCTGCAATAAAGGAAGAATTAAAAAGAGAACCATAGTAAGCGAAAAGTCTTTTCGTACTTTGCAAAATATTACAAAGAGGATTGGGAAAGGTAAATTAAATGGCCAGGAACTTTCATTCGCTGTTCAACAGATCTCTCGAAAACTAGTGCATAAGCAAACCCCTTTTTTATATGGGAGTTTCAATAGACACGTCAGATAAAAGATAAGAAAGAAAAAAAAGAAGGAAAAAAAACCCTCTTCCGGAAAGTAATCTTTGGATTTTATCATGGAATATAAAATAAAATATATCCCTTTTCTGCATGAGTAACCTGAAGTGTAAGGAAACTATAGAAAATCATTCTTCAACTGTACTTAAAACTAGACACATACACTTCCAGACACCCCTATTTTTCCAGCAAAATTGAAATATCTACCCATAATCAACCTCTACCAGATCAATTCAATATTCCAGTTTTCAATGTCAATGTTGCAAAGGTTGCCACCACCTCCACCAACAGAAACTCAGTTCAAATTTCTTCCCAGATATTTAATAACCATGATATCAAAGTCTATCATGATACCACAACATTAATATGGCCTGTCTCCAACGGATGTCCAATTGGTTTCCCATCGCCAGTCACACTAACAATTTATTAACACTGATCTAACAGCTATGACTCCGCTTTAACCAGTCTATACCTAACTTTGCGCCAAATGATTTTTTTATAAAAAAAACTCTGATCATTGCAATGAAACTAGACAAGAAAACAAGCATGTGGAGTGAACCTTATCATCAAACCGGAAAAGAGATTGATCGAAGTAAGGAGAAGGACTCTGCGATTGACAGCTAAAAGGCAAAGAGGCGAGCATCTTCTTCACAAACTGCAAAACAACAAACAAATTTTATACAAAGAACACATTAGCATGCCATGTACATCGCCTTTTGATTTTTTCTTTTATCATGGAAAGGAAGGAGGGATCATGGCACAAAGTTACAACTTACAACCAGTAACAATTCACCTGTGAAGAGTTGCTTGCCTTATCCTTTATGCTCCATAGCTGTTCCAGCGCATGAATATTATTTGAATGAGAAGATATGAAATTCATATACATCAAATTCCTTGAGGTTACATGAAAGTGATCACCAAACTTCTCAAACAACAGATAAAGCTCATCTGCTGAATTCTGGTAGAATGTAAAAGCAAATTAGGGGAAAATCATACTGTAACACTGAAAACCCAAGAAAATAAAATACAGAATGAAAAACAAACTTACGTGATAAAAAGATATAATTTCAGTTGTATCCATGTTGTATACAGCAACAAAAGCTGGATGGTGATCAGCATTTCTTGACACCTGAGGCTTCAAAACATGAAAATCAGCACATCTTTCATATTACCTCAATAGAGCACATTTTGATTCCATTCGAGTTAACAGATTGAGCGCTGACCCATTGTTAATAGCTAGATAAAACCTTTCTTGAGCCACCAATTAACAGTTACCGGCTTTTAAGAGTTGTCCCTAACAAGGTACGAGATATCCTGACCTAGTGATAAAAATTCAACCCTTGTTGCCCCATTCCGATGATTAAATCTCTGCAACAAGTTGATAAAACTGTGTTCTGACTCTGAGGGCTTTTACAAAGATAATTGCCACTTTAGCTACCAGCTCAAAATTTAAGAAAAGTTAACCACTGACACTGATTGTTTTCTGTACGTTAGGACAGGGCTAGACATTTAGCAAGGAGCCTCCTACAGAAAGGCTGGAAGTCTACTTCAAGGATGACCCCCCGATACCCGAGTTTTAGCAAAATATAAATAATATACTGTTCCTTTCTAATATTTGGCCTTGGGGCCGCTGTCAAGTTCTTGTAAGTAATTTTCACTTATGTGCTTAGGGTCTGTAATGTTATTACTAGAACAAATAAAAATTAAAAACAAGTACAAAGATAACTTACCCCTCCATCAACACTGCCAAACTTGATTAGCAAGTGGTGTCGATCCAAAAACTGCACCTGCCCAGGAATTGAATAGATGCAACTGGTTACATTCCTCATTTATATATGAATCAATAGTGAAATAGTCTTGTCTGATGATAAAGCAGTGATCAAGAACCAGTTACGATGTATAAAATGTCTTGACGACTTACCTTCCAGATAACCAAATCAACATAATCTTGAAAGTGGAAGTAAAACTTGTTCCTAAGTCTTTGGATCCTCTGACGAACCGGAAAAAAAACAATATCACAATCTAACTTACACATTGAGAAAAGACACAACTTATAAGTGGAGTTTACACGGCTATATAATAATACATACGACCAAAAATCAAACAACCACAATTCAGTAACACAGAAATTAGAGACGGCGAAAACATTCAGAGCAATAATTACGAGAAATGAAAAGGGTAAACAATTCACAAAGCCCCAAGGAGTAATAGTTGTCTTTACACTCAGCAACAACCACCAAACAATTTTTCCACTAGGTAGGGTAAGGTGCAATCATCAATCGATGCCATAAAGTCTATACAACAGTATTAGGTCTAGAGACAGACCATTTGCTTCTAATTTGTATATATACTCATATGCCAAAAACCAATTTTGTTTCTTCTACGGGTCAGGATTCCAGATTTTAGAATATTTCTTTTTTCCCACATTCATGCTTAAGAATGTCATAGTAATCTAATAAAAAAACAATGTCGTAATAATAATACTGTTTGGGGAAGAAAATAAGGGAAATTATAAAAAAAGGAGTTCTAGTAAAAATATTTCTAGTTTAGGAATAATTAAGCATACAAGTGGTTTATTAAGTTAAGAAGTGTTCATTCAACAACCACCGTTTGAACATGGGTAACCACTTTGTGGTTAACTATTCCAAACACTTAGTGGCAAACTATTCCTAAATTGGAAACATCTTTACCAAGAACTCTTATGGTAAAGCTTGACAACAAGCGCATTTCACACACATGTATGCTTGTGGAGAAAGAGATGTGGATGTACAACGCCAAATATTGTTCGTAAGAGTGAGAAGAGAGACACAAGAAGATCTAAAAAAAAAATTGTGAGGAAGAATAATAAAAAAGAAACTGATGCTTTCACCATATCAAAGATAGTAGAAAAGAAAAAGAAACTGATATTTGGGAATGTGCCTATATCCTTCCAAGATAATGCATTAAAAACTTTCTGTAACATGTTCAGCATAGAAGCAAAGCCAAATAAAACATGGAAAAAGAAAAGTGTTCAATAAGAAGCAAATTTATAAGACTAACCAAGGTATCATCCGTTTCTTCATTCCATAATCCCTGGAATATGAATGAAAGCAATCGCTGCTTTACACCACTTAAAAAAGAATTCCCCACACTAGGCTGACCTTGATGCATGTGATTTTCTACATGGTTCTCTGGCACTGGGTGCTGTTTATTTTTGTTAGACAATGGCATGCCCTGTCAGCAAATGATTGTCTTTTATGAGTTTAGCTCTTAATATTAAATTTGGTTGGCAAAATATAAAGGTATACCATACATGTGCACAGATGAGAAGTGAGCACATATGGTGTCACAAATCACAATTGGTAAAACTGTTAGTTTGAACCCACAATAGATTCAGAAAGCATTTGCAAGGTGTTACAAAAATTCACCTGTGAAAGCATTCTTAAAGGTTCTTTTTATGGTCAACTGTTTAAGGGACCCACCGGCCACCACTAATGTGAGCCCAGGGGGAAACCCGTATGAGACCGTAAAGGGTAGGGAAGGGATTGGAAAAAGGGATGGAGTATACTGCATAGGTTTGAACCTGTGCACTCTCAATGCATGTCCCACAACTTCAACTGAGCTAACTCAGAGGGGCTTCTAAAAGCATATTCAATTAGATAAAATTGGAGGTTTTTCTGTCAAAATGCCACAACAATCTATATCTAATGGAAGACTAAACAAGATGCTTGTAGACTAAAGCTTGCCAACCTGAGCATTTGAATTTAGAAAAAGTTCGTCATCTTCACGGCAGAACTCCCCAATAGCCCGTACATGAACAAAGTTCCCAGAGTCCCTAATCTGAAGAATGTGTATAGTTTGATAGCGAAGTGATACAATTGCCAATAGATCATCATACAAGAAGACACCCATATTATGAGTCAAATTGACAAAGTCATTACTGAAGACCTTCTTATCCAGGATCTCTCCATCTTCCATTCTAAATATAATACATGAGAATTGTCAGCATATGATTTTTCTTCAGTTTTGAAGATAAAAAGAAAAACTCAATATAAAGGAAGATAGAAAGCACCTCAAAAGATGAAAAGTTATTTTTTCTATTGACGGAACACCCTGAACAGCTCCTCCATCAGCAGGTGCATCAAGAACTTGAGCCGTAGAAGTAGCAAACAGTCCAAATTTATTACTCTCCATGTAAAGAAAGAAATCTTTACATATAAGTTCATTACAAGAAACAAGTGGTACACAATATAATTGGGTGAAAAAACTGTCAAATCTTCTTGCTTTTTCCGGCAAATCATGTTTATCACAATCTTCATCATTGCATGAAAAAGAAAGCCATCTAGGTCTATAAACAATCAACTCCTGATGATTTCTGCTGAAACTTACAAGGTATTGACCATCATCTGTGAATTTACGAAATGAATGGTCAGGGAACTCAACCTCATATACTGTGTAACTTGGCACCAAATTCTCATAGAATCGCCGGGCATGATGAACCTGCAAGAATTAAATTACACCTGCAAAAATTATATTCAATTCAGGTTCCTTCAACAGAGGAACAATACAACAATTTTATAAATTTCACATATGCTAGCTTCTTCATTTGACTATGCACATGCAACTTTTCCAAACCGACAAACCATATATACTTTTGCAATTTCCACATTACGAAAATCAGTCTATGCCTGACTCTATTTAAACCTCTCTGCATATCCAAAAAATACAGTTAAGCAAATAGCATCACTCTACTCACCCGTATTTTCTACCCCTAATATCCTTAATTGGATACTCACATCCTAACATTGCAACTAGAAGGACCACGGCCGCGGGCCTGTTTAGGTTGCTTATTTGAGCTTATCTACTAGCATAAACATTTATTGTTTGGAAGAGCTTATGGAAATAGTTTATGACAGTCCATATCTAGTTTTGTGCTTATTTCCATAAGCTCTCTTAGATAGCTTATAAAAAATAACTTCTAGGTTCTAACTTCGGTGAAAAAAATCTGATTTTATTATATCTTTTGTTATCGACATAGCTTATATATAAGTTGTTTATCCAAATAGGGTCTAATTGTTGTTCTGAAATACTTACGAACTCATGCAGCTAAGCATAAACCTTGTAAACACTTAATCATATGTTTACATTAATTATTCCAGACCTTAGCTATTGAAAGATAAATCAACACACCAAACAAGCTCGTAAGCTAAAAAGAGGCCATCGAAGACGGCAATTATAAGAATTCCATGAAAAAGAAGAACCTACACTAGTGCCAGGAGCAGGAGTGCAAATTTGACGATCGAAAATCCTAGCCGCAATATTGCTGCTTCTGTAGTACATTAAAGCTCGTCCACAAACTCGAAGAAACCTTTACCCTAAAAATGAAAGGAAGCGAAATTTTCACATCAGAAAAATAATAATTATTTTCAAATCAAAAGTTTCACAATCCAAATCATGAGCTAAATTCAAAAATCAAGACAAATAATAACATGGATCAATTTGTATATGAAAATGTTAAACTCCAAAATTACAGAAACTAAAAGAATACACATCATGCAGTGTGAAAATCAAAATAACTGAATTAAGTAAAAAATAAACTAAGGTTTAAGATGTTATTATACTAAACTAAATGAAGTAATCATAGAGCATTTCACATTAATCTAACCTAAAAAACTAACATAACTGTAGATAGAAATGAGAACAAAAACCCTTGGATTATGCATGATTTTTAATTATTGTTAATTTTTTCTATTATGAGGAATAATTGATAAGAAAATGTTGTTGGAAGCGGAAAAATAGTTGCAGAGAGAATCGGAGAGATTACCGGTGGACACGGCGTTGACGACGACGGGAAGAGAAATGCGGTGGTGACCGGAAAGAGTGAGATTCGGGAATTTAATAGAAATAGAATGGAGTATAGATATGACACGTCAAGTCTGGTGCCACAAAACATATGGCTATTCCCACCCACCACTTCCAACTTGCTAGTTGCTATCAAACACCCCCACAACTACTACTTTCCTTTATTACTATTAAGATAAGGTCAGATTACAAAATCTTATACTATCTCACTTATAAACAAGAAAATAAATGTTGAAATAACTTCACTTGATATTTTCTTGAATTTTCATATAATGAGGGCTATTTTTGTTGAATTTTATTGTTATTTTATGAAAGTTTTACCACATATCTTTTTCTATTTAAATAATTTATCTTATCATATATATTAAAATGATGGTTTTTAAGTTGGTGAAAATATTGAAAGTTATGTGTGGTGGTTTTTTGAAGATAGTACAAGACATGAAATATTTATTATTAATAAAAAGTCGGTTCTTTATTCTTCTTCTTTTTTTTGTATTTAACTTTTCAATTTGTTTATGATTGTAGTAGTGTGCATTATATTGTAGTTTTATGTCATACATGTTTAGATTGTATTGCATCATATTTGATTTTATTATATGGTACTGTGCATTTCAATGTTGAATGAATTGTATTAGGTATATTTTTGTCTGCATTGAGTTAATATAGTGTAAGAATTTGATGGGTGTATGAAGTTGAATTATATTGTATGCGTAGACTATTGTATGTATATGGTAATCGTATGTATATTGTAATTTCATTTGTTTGCACTATATGACTTTATTTAGGGTTGTTTTTTTGTGTTAATAATTATTTTGTCGAAGATACAATGTTAATGTACAAAGGTGATGAGTTGTATGTCTATAATGATTAAGATTCTGACTTTTTATTCTAATTTGAGACTCGTGACATAACTAAGGGAATAAATTTTAAATTTAAAGAAGATGCATTGAAACTATGATGAAAACATGAGAGTGAATCTTTAGATAGAGTGATCTCTAGATAAAAGCCTCAATTCATTCCAGAATGATATTGATGCATGCGGAATGTCAAAATATATTGAAAACAACAATTGTAATGTAGAACTATATTAAGTTGAGAGTATCAATAGGAAATTCAATATTTATTAATCATGTTACAAAGAATAACAAGGAAAAGGATATTGTTGTTGATGATAGTAATTACTTAAGTGATGGTATAGAAGAGTGCATAAGTGATCAGGATCGGATATAGACTTGTGCAACTTAATTTGTTGTACAGGATCTCAAAAAATCGAGAGCCTTGAAATCGAAAAAATGATTAAATTTATAATTGTTAAATTTGTCGTTAATTAGACAAAAAAGTCTAAATGAAATATTTTGAAAATTAAGAGATCAAGTTGACACGAAAAAAATAATTAAAAGACCAATCTAAATTCAAGAATATAGTTAAGAAATAAAAAAAAATATATATTTTGCCTAAATTTATATATAACTTATTATATTTATTTTTTTTAAACAATCTAATTTAGTCTTGACTAACTTATTATTTTTAAAGTTGTATAACATTTCTTACTAGTTTAGGTTCTTTTATGCTATTATAGTATCTTTAAAATTCATAATGGGTCTTCAATTAAGTACATTTTGATTTTATAATTTTTTGAAATTTATAAAAAATATATATTATTAAATTTTGTTTTATAATATTTAAAAGTTAAAAATAATTACTATTTTAAATTAAGTATTTACAATTAAATAGATAGTAAATTTATAGATAAGTTATTATATTTAATTTCTGGCATAATTATTCTAGGGGTTCTTTAAGTTATTTTATTCTAATAGGTTGGTTATTAAAAAAAAAATTGTAACAACTTTGTTCTTTAAGTTTTTTTTTTTATTAAATTAAGATCTTACTTTATATTTTTTGGATGCTACTTTATGTATTTAGGTCTTCAATTAAATACATCTTAGTTTTGTAATTTTTTAAATTTATAAAAAAATATATTATTGAATTTTATTTTATAATATATTTAAAAGTGGAAAAATAATTATTATTTAAATTAAGTCATTACAATTAATTAGATAGTAAATTTATGGTAAAATACTCACTTTATTCCTTTAACTATATCTTTGGATTCAAATTGATTCCTTAATTTTTTTGTGTGAATTTGGTCCTTTAATTTTCAAAACGTTTTATTTTAGTCTTTTTTATCTAATTAGCTACAGAAAAATTTAGAAATCGATCGCTAAATTTGTCGCTAATTAGACAAAAAAGTCTAAATGAAATATTTTGAAAATTAAGAGATCAAGTTGACACGAAAAAAATAATTAAAAGACCAATCTAAATTCAAGAATATAGTTAAGAAATAAAAAATATATATATATTTTGCCTAAATTTATATATAACTTATTATATTTTATTTTTTTAAACAATCTAATTTAGTCTTGACTAACTTATTATTTTTAAAGTTGTATAACATTTCTTACTAGTTTAGGTTCTTTTATGCTATTATAGTATCTTTAAAATTCATAATGGGTCTTCAATTAAGTACATTTTGATTTTATAATTTTTTGAAATTTATAAAAAATATATATTATTAAATTTTGTTTTATAATATTTAAAAGTTAAAAATAATTACTATTTTAAATTAAGTATTTACAATTAAATAGATAGTAAATTTATAGATAAGTTATTATATTTAATTTCTGGTATAATTATTCTAGGGGTTCTTTAAGTTATTTTATTCTAATAGGTTGGTTATTAAAAAAAAAATTGTAACAACTTTGTTCTTTAAGTTTTTTTTAAATTAAATTAAGATCTTACTTTATATTTTTTGGATGCTACTTTATGTATTTAGGTCTTCAATTAAATACATCTTAGTTTTGTAATTTTTTAAATTTATAAAAAAGTATATTATTGAATTTTATTTTATAATATATTTAAAAGTGGAAAAATAATTATTATTTAAATTAAGTCATTACAATTAATTAGATAGTAAATTTATGGTAAAATACTCACTTTATTCCTTTAACTATATCTTTGGATTCAAATTGATTCCTTAATTTTTTTGTGTGAATTTGGTCCTTTAATTTTCAAAACATTTTATTTTAGTCTTTTTTATCTAATTAGCTACAGAAAAATTTAGAAATCGATCGTTAAATTTGTCGCTAATTAGACAAAAAAGTCTAAATGAAATATTTTGAAAATTAAGAGATCAAGTTGACACGAAAAAAATAATTAAAAGACCAATCTAAATTCAAGAATATAGTTAAGAAATAAAAAAAATATATATTTTGCCTAAATTTATATATAACTTATTATTTTTATTTTTTTAAACAATCTAATTTAGTCTTGACTAACTTATTATTTTTAAAGTTGTATAACATTTCTTACTAGTTTAGGTTCTTTTATGCTATTATAGTATCTTTAAAATTCATAATGGGTCTTCAATTAAGTACATTTTGATTTTATAATTTTTTGAAATTTATAAAAAATATATATTATTAAATTTTGTTTTATAATATTTAAAAGTTAAAAATAATTACTATTTTAAATTAAGTATTTACAATTAAATAGATAGTAAATTTATAGATAAGTTATTATATTTAATTTCTGGCATAATTATTCTAGGGGTTCTTTAAATTATTTTATTCTAATAGGTTGGTTATTAAAAAAAAATTGTAACAACTTTGTTCTTTAAGTTTTTTTTTATTAAATTAAGATCTTACTTTATATTTTTTGGATGCTACTTTATGTATTTAGGATGTTAATATATGTATTTTGTTGCAACTTTATATATTTTGAGTGATTGATTTAATTTAAGATTGAAAAAAAGAGTATGTTTGAATATCATGAAATGAACATAGCGGAATGGAACAAAGTGGAGTGGGATGGATCGGAATGGAGCGGAACAGAACGAAGATATCATTCCATTATTTGGAAATTTTAGAACGGAACACAATAAATTGTTCATTCCGTTCAAATCGGAGGGAAAGGAATATGGTGGTAACTGATAAAATGGAATGAAATTCATACCACTTCATTCCGCTCCGCTCCATCTGTTTTTAAATGATTCAAACAATAAAATATTATTTTATTCCATTCCATTATGCTCTGCTCCATCTGATTCCATCAATCCAAATAAAATCTAAGAGACCAACTTTTTATAATAAAATAACTTAAAGATCCTTGATATACTTATGTCTTAAATTTTTTAAAACAATATAATTTAGTGTTGACTAACTTATTATTTTTAAAATTTTATAACATTTCTTACTAGTTTAGTTTCTTTTATGATATTATACTAACTCTTAATAAAATATATAACTATTTATTTTAATAAAAAATACTAACACAATATTAAAAAAAGGGTTAAATATGTTTTTGGTCTCTCTAAATATAGCAAATTTTGTTTTTAGTCCCTCTAAATATTTTCTTTAGAGAATGGTCCTTCTAAAATTTTTCATCCACACTTTTGATCCCTTCTGCTAACGTCTGTTAAC